TTGGGATCGTTGAAGAAGTAGATGTAGAATCACCAGATATTGGAAATGTCCATTATTTGCCACACCACGCTGTAATACGTCAGGACAAATTAACAACCAAACTACGCATTGTCTACGACGCTTCATCAAAATCCGAAGGTTTGCCATCTTTAAACGATTGCCTATCCGTTGGTCCTTCGTTAAATCAAAAGATATTCGACATCATAGTACGTTTTCGTACTCATCGCATTGGTATTACAGCAGACATAGAGAAGGCATTCCTGATGGTGGCTATTGACGAAAAGGATCGGGATTACGTCAGATTCCTATGGCTTGATGATGTCAACAGTTTCGAACCACAACCAAAGGTTTTCAGATTCACCAGAGTGGTATTTGGATTGACATCGAGTCCATCTCTGGAATGCCACTATAAAATGTCATATGGAACAGTACGCCACGGAGCAACCAGAATTTGTACATAAATTTCTGCGATCCATATATGTGGACGACCTAACTTCGGGAGCAGCCACTGATCAGGAAGCCAAGGAATTTTACGAAAACGCCAAATAAAACCTAGCTTCAGCTGGATTCAACCTTCGAAAATTTACTTCAAATTCAAAGTCACTTAACCAAATAATTAGCCAGAAAGAAGCCGCAAATGGAATGACAATTGACAATGATTTCGTAGAGCCAGTAATCAGGGAAGAAGTTAACACGTATACAAAGTCCACATTAGGTGATTCCACTAATGAAGATGAGAAAATTCTTGGTGTGAGATGGAATTCAACATCAGATCATTTCATCTTTGATATCAGTGAGATAGCTGATTATGCCAAAGACAATACTCCAACCAAACACCATGTAGTCAGTGTAGCCGCAAATTTTTCGATCCACTTGGTTTCCTTTCGCCATCGACATCTATTCCGAGATATTTCAATTGTGGTATACTTGAAACAGTAACCAGTTATGACGTCATGGGATTCTGTGATGCCTCAACCATAGCCTATGTCGCATTTGTTTACCTGAGAATTAATACCCATAATGGATCCTTCATCAGATTTATAGCATCAAAGACAAGAATTTCGCCGCTTTCCCCTACCACTATACCAAGACTGGAACTTTCTCGACTAATTAACACCATCAATGGAGTTTTAAAGGAAGACATCCAGATATCAAACACAATATGCTTCACAGACTCCAAAGTAGCATATCATTGGATAATTAACGAAGCTGGTGAATGGAAGCAATTCGTTCAAAATAGGGTAAACGAAATCCACACACTCACATCAGTCAGCAGTTGGAGACACTGTCCGGAACCAGCAACCCAGCAGATTTGCCTTCAATAGGAGCAGATCCATATTTATTCTTGGAGACTCCACTTTGGAATAATGGACCAGAATGGCTGCCAGAGTATTCGATACAGAGCCAAGAGCCAGCTGAAGATGGGAACTCTTTGCTTGAAATAATTTCAGAAATGAAGAAAGCCAAGCAACACACTGTCTTGGCCGAATTAAACGGAGCCTCGATCAGTAATATTATAGATTATTCAATGTACAGCAACATCGATCGCCTTTTTAGAGTAACATCATATGTTTTTAGGTTCATTCGCCACTTGCAGTCAAAGAAAAGAGTGCCATATCCGGAGAGAAAGCCACTAAATGAATTTGGAATAGCCAAAGAAGATTTTCTCAACGCCGAAAGATTATGGCTGAGGGAGATACAGTCAGAAATTCCACAATATAAGAATTTTGAAAACTGGAGAAACCAATTTGATATATACACTGATCAAGATGGAATCTTTAGATGCCGTGGAAGACTAGGCAATTCAGATCTCCCTGAATCAACGAAATTCCCGGTACTAATTGACCATAAACACTACTTAGGTACATTATTGGTACGCCGAAGTCACTCAGAAGTCATGCATTCCGGAGTAGCAGCCGCGTTAACTCAACTTCGCTCTAAATACTGGACAATACGAGGAAGACAGTTTGTACGTAAAACCATCCACCAATGTCGTATATGCCGTCGTTTTGATTCTAAACCATACGATGCACCATCTGTGCCACCTCTGCCAGATTTTAGGGTCAGAAGATCTTTCGCATTCAGTCATATTGGTGTTGATTTCGCTGGACCCATGTACGTCAAGACGACAACCGATGAGTTACAGAAGACATGGTTATGCCTATACACTTGCACTGTAACCAGAGCCGTACATCTAGAATTGGTGCCAGATATGTCAACTCATGCCTTCATATGCAGCTTCAGAAGATTTACATCATGACGAGGGACACCAGTACATTATAATCTCAGATAATGGTAATACGTTTAAGGCCGCGACCAAAATACTCCATCAGATTAAGTGGTCATTTAACTTAGAGAAGGGCCCATGGTGGGGAGGGATCTTTGAAAGGATGATTAAAAGCGCCAAGATATGTCTCAAGAAATGTATTGGAGGAGCCAGATTGACCCACGATGAACTCGGAAACGTTATAACGGAAGTAGAAGCTGTATTAAACTCTAGACCAATATCTTATGTCTCTACAGAAGATATAGAAGAGCCACTCACCCCATCGCATCTTTTACATGGTAGACGTTTGTTAGACAAACCTGAATATAAAAATGCCATATATCAAGAAGTCACCATAATAGTCCATGATGATAATCAACCCAGAACAGTATGGAAACTTGGAAGGGTAACACGATTGATTACTGGTAATGATGGCAATGTTCGAGGGGCTGAACTACTAGTACAGAGTAAAAATGGAAAAGTCATTTGGAAAGAGACCTCTCCAACGTCTGTATCCAATTGAAACGAGCATCCGAGATCGTGGAGCTACTGATTCTGTCATCGAAAGAGTAAAACCAGATAATCAATCCAAAATTCATTCAGATGATACCACTGGAACTACTCAGTCATCTACGCAAACTGATGAACTTCGACCAAAGAGAACAGCAGCCGTCAAAGCTAGTACAAAGATAAAATCATGGATTAAAGAACTTTAATTTTCAAATGTGTCCAATAATATAAGTGCCAATCTCATGAACATTATTTTGTTTTATACACAATGTGCTTCACGAACTGTGTGTGATGACCAGCTGTTTCATTTCATTACAATTTAGCTACACTGGTCATCAGGGGGGAGTGTATGAGATATGGAATTTTGTGTACATTTTAGGAACTTTTCTTTTGGTTACAAATTTGTCTTGTGCTTACGCATTATATAATAGTCCAGATTATCACATTTTGAAATGCAAAGTCTGGCTTGATGTTCGTGTCTATTATGATTGATTTGACGTAATAAAAATACAGGCCTCTTTATTTCAAAATAAGCCATGTTTCTTTCTCTCCAACGAATTTGCTAAAATTATAAGCCTTACAGCCAGAACCATTCCATGACAGATTGTCGCCAGATCTCCCACATTCTTTTCCAAATGCTTTCTAATGGCTTATGATCAGTACATATAAGAACACTTTTACCATAAACATAATGTTTAAATAGTTGAATTCTTTTCTTTTATATATGTATCTAAGATATCTTTTATTTCTTAATTGTCTTCGTAATATTTAAATATGTCTTGAACGTCTTTCTTTGGTATATATTCTAAAGCTTTGAGGAATTGATAATATTATTGCTCTGGTGTTGTTGTGTAGATATATAATGAATCGAAATCTAAAAGTTTTGGTGTTGTCAACATGTTAAAGGTTAAATATGTTTTTCCAGAACCTGAGTTTCCACAAATACACATAAGCATTGGGTTACTAGGAAATATTTCTGAATGATTAAATTTTTTGCCCATTTTTTATTCTATTTTATTTATTTTATTTTTATTCCTTATCAAGAACGTATGTTTTTAAAAACTATGGCATTCCCCTTATGTTTGACCTTCATTTCTCCGGTGTTGATTTTATCTATTAGATTACTTTAACAGTTTTCTTGGTTTCTTCGCTAAATCGATTTCCATATTCTTTAACCGTCCCTAATATATCTACTACTCCTGAACCTTGTGCTATCTTTTCCATTTCCATATTACGTCTACGTCTTTAAAAAGGAGTCTACAGCACTCGGTGTTCCCAGGCGGTCACCCATCCAGGTACTAACCGAGCCCGACGTTGCTTAATTTCAGTGATTGAACGAGAATTGGTGCTTTCAACGTGGTATGGTCGTATCGGAATTTTTCAAGCGGGTCTTTCTCGCAAAACACAAGAAAATGTCTGCAAAAAGGAGTCTACAGCACTCGGTGTTCCCAGGCGGTCACCCATCCAAGTACTAACCGAGCCCAACGTTGCTTAACTTCAGTGATCGGACGGTAGACACTATGTGGAATTTTTCTTTCGGGTCTTTCTCACAAAACACGAGAAAATGTCTGCAAAAAGGAGTCTACAGCATTCGGTGTTCCCAAGGTGGTCACGCATCCAAGCACTAACAGAGCCCGACGTTGTTTAACTTCAGTGATCGGACGAGAACTGGGGCTTTCAACGTGGTATGGCCGTAGGCACTATATGGTGATTTTTCAAGCGGGTCTTTTTCACGACACATGGGAAAATGTCTTCAAAAGGAGTCTACAGCACTCGGTGTTCCCAGGCGGTCACACATCCCGACGTTGCTTAACTTCAGTGATTGGACGAGAACTGGTGCTTTCAACGTGGTATGGCCGTAGACATTCTATGGGAATTTTCTAAGCGGGTCTTTCTCGCAAAACACTGGAAAATGTCTGCAAAAAGGAATCTACAGCACTCGGTGTTCCCAGGCGGTCACGTATCCAAAAACAAACCGAGCCCAACGCTGCTTAACTTCAAAGATCGGACGGTATGGCCGTAGACACTATGTGGATATTTTTCAAGCGAGTCTTTCTCACAAAACACGGGAAAATGTCTTTAAAAAGGAGTCTACAGCGCTCGGGGTTCCCAGGCGGTCACCCATCCAAGTACTAACCGAGCCCGACGTTGCTTAACTTCAGTGATCGGACGGTAGACACTATGTGGAATTTTTCAAGCGGGTCTTTCTCACGACACTTGGAAAATGTCTTCAAAAGGAGTCTACAGCACTCCGTGTTCCCAGGCGGTCACCCATCCCAGTACTAACCGAGCCCGACGTTGCTTAACTTCAGTGATTGGACAAGAACTGGTGCTTTCAACGTGGTATGGCCGTAGATATTCTATGGGAATCAGATTGAACAACGATAATTATCCCAATCAACCTTGATCCTTCCAAAAAAGATTACAACGAATTGTACAGAAACTATAAAAACATGTGCGAATTGTTTGGAAAATTCCTCAGTTTGAATACACAGATTTTTCTCTCAATCATCCAATCTTTTGTTTCGATCTGTCAGCTCATCTTCTTTTCAAAACAGGGGTAAACATAAATATTCACATTGAAAGAACACAAGGAGATGTAACCTTGCTGGAAGAAGCAAAACATTTGATTAAAATATCAGATAGAAGAATGATAAGAATTGAATAAAAAAAACACCCTTTAAAAATGAAACCAGAAACATTAGTTATGAAAATAAACGAATAATCGAAACGACTCTAATAACTTACAACGGTAAAAAAATGCATATAACCCAAAAGATTATCGATAAATACAAACATTGCAAAGTCAGAGATGATATAGACTTGGAAAGAATTGATCAGAATTTAACTAAAAAAGGTGGATTTTTATCTTTCTTAGAAAGCTGAAGCCGCTGCAAACGCCGAAGCACGTAGACACAATTTGGCAATGGAAAGAGAAGCACGAGGAGGTTCGGGGGTAGGAGATATATTAGGGACGGTTAAAGAATTCGGACAAGAAACCGTTAAAGAGGGATTAAGCAAATTAATAGATAATATCGACACCGGAGAAATAAAAGTCAAACACAAGGGTAACGCCATATTTTTTAAAAACATACGTTCGGGTGAGGGAATCTTTCTTTCAAAGTATAAAGGCAACGGGGTGATTTTTGGAACGAAAATGTAATAAATTAAAATGGGCAAGAAATTCAAACATTCGGACATATTTCCTAGCAACCCCATGCTCATGTCCATTTGCGGATCTTCGGTTTGTGGAAAAACTTACCTCACTTTTAACATGTTGACAACACCGAACCTTTTAGATTTCGAGACTACTCCCGAACAATCCTATTATCAGTTTCTCAAAGCTTTGGAATACGTCTCGAAAGAATACATTTTTCACTACTACGAAAGCAACGAAGACTTACAAGAGAACGCGGAAATAAAAGACATTTGAGACGGATCCTTCTCTGAAACAGACCGACGTTAAAGTGTTTCTGACTAAAAACGTCAACGATTTAAACTTGTCTAAAATCGACAACCACCGAAAGAACTTGATTGTCTTTGACGACTGCGTGGCACAAAGTCAAACCGTTCAACAAAAATTCTTCACGAAAGAACTGTCACTGCATTACCAATCCCAAATCATTCTACGGAATGGACGCCATGTTTATCAGAAAGAACGCAAATTGTTTTTGTATTATTTGAATTAAACGACAAAGATTTATCTCAAATCACGGATTAATCACGGAATGGACAGAGATACGTTTTCAAAGGTTTGTAAAGCACAATGGAGAAACCCGGGTGATCATGGTTATGTATTTGTTAATACCAGAAAACCTGCGGGAGAAAGAGTTATGATCGACATATGTTAATTTTATTTTTTTAAAATGACGGATTGGAATAGTGTTTTGAAAAGAAACAAAAAATACATCGAGGCCAAGAATAAAATAAAGACCCAAGTTGAAAATAACAGATTACAACAACTCGGATTAACGTTAGATCTACAGACTCTCTTTCAACCAATCTTAGAGACTCAAGAGGATATCAAAAAGAAATTAGAATATAGACGTCGAAATCGATTGAATATGGTGGTATTAAGACATTAGATGATATAAAACGTCTTTTTTCAAACCCTGACCCAGATTTACCAAAGAGTATTTCACCAATCGTTGATGATGAGGGGTTATTGTTTAAGATTTAGTGGAAATTCACCACAATTCAAAATCGACACAAAATACTTTAACAAAAGGGTTAATAGATTAAATGAATGGCGGGGATGTTGAAATTGCCGATTACAAGGATTTAGTAGCATACTCAAAATTTCTACATGCGATCAGAAAGTCAGGGCCCGAAACAAGAAGATCGAAAGAAATTAAACTATATAAGAGCAATTGAACATGTTGATGAATACGAAGTTGACGAATTCGATGATATGGTTTCTGGGCTTTTTTACCAGATAACAACGAGGAACTAGTTAATAGATTACGAGTAATATTAGGGGCTATGAAGGAAGGTCATCAATCGGACAGACAATACAATGAAACGACTTTTGGAGAAAAAAATCATCACTAAAAAAGACTATATAAACGTCATTAAAAATGTCCAATAAAGAACAATTGTTCGTTATCACCTCGAATAAACAACAATCAACTAAAAATATCGACGGATAACGGGTTTACGTTTAAAACCATAAGCTTACTACTGGGAAGCTACGAATACGTAGCCATCAACGATTACCTATCCGAATAGGCAGGAAGCGTGAGCGGTAAAAACAATATCGAATTCGAAGGTAATTTGAATCTGAACAAAATAAAATTGATCTTGAGAAATAACAGTCATGTCGATTTCAACGTAGAAAATTCGTTGAATGCGTTACTAGGGTTCGATAAACGAATATACGCGCAATCGACATTGGCGCCACACAAGGCCAACATCGAGAACGACATCGACGTGATCAACATTCACTGTAATTTGATCAACAAGCACAAACGCCAAATCATATACAGCATACCGACTATTACGGTGCCGATCTGATACAGAAACCGTTCCAAACGACCTTTTTACTAGTCAATTCTTTCATGATCAAAGATATAAATCTGGAAATCAAAGACGGTAAAAACAGGTTCATAGACATTGGCAACGAAGAAATTGTCATTCAACTTCATTTAAAACGAGTCAAATAGATCTTCATTCTCTTCTTGAATAGTAAATTAATCGAAATCATCAAATTCATAGTTTTCATCAAAACTATACTCATCTTTATCACTATAAGGATACATAATTCCTTCACTGTTTGGTGGTTTTCTTTTAACATTATTCAAATAACTTTTTAAAAACTTTAGTTTGTTTATCATCATCCTTTGGAATAACTACTCAATTTGTGAAACTTTTTTCCCATGGTTTCTTAAATTCATTCGATATATCATGTCCGCTTGCTAACTGAATGTAATCTTCTACACTTATCTTATCATTAGAATAACCTTTAAATGTTTTCTTTTCTTTTAAAACACCATCAGAAGTTAGAATGATATTGTATTTAACTTTTGGTGCTAAATATAAACCAAATATAATTTCACCATCACCGTAATCGTTTTTACCTTTGCAATAGTCTTTTTCGGAGACCAAACCAGCTCTGTTTAGTTTTTTCCAATTGTTGGATGAAATGTACAAACTATCGGTGTCCGTATAGTATATTTCGGGTCTATAAAATCCATTAATCACATGAATGAAATTATTCATTATTTTTTGAGTGTGAGATAAAACGAATGATCCCAAATGACTAGGTGTTAGTCGTGTAGATTTACTTGAGTGATCTTCGGTAGTAATCTCTTTTTCTTCAATTTCCGTTTCAACAATATATTGAGTATCATTAATTTTCTCATAGGTTTTAATATGTGAATCAAAGTTAGCCTGTAAAGTTGCTTCTTTCCATAAATGTCTAGTTGTGAACATATCTTTTTGAATTGATTTACCAAACAAGGAATTATCTAATAATTTCATGCAATTACTACCTATAATATTACCTTCTCGTTTATATTTATTTCTAAGATCTCTCAAAATTAAAATATAATCTCTATATGTTGGAATTTTAAAATTTTCTTCGTATACTATACCATCTAATATTCTAATAATTCGTCCATCGACTTTAACTATTTCTTGAATATCAAGAAATGTTAAAACGTCGTTACAGAAACCATTTCTGAACCTGATTTTGTTACCAGTTGCCTTTTTACCTTCTTTATTCGTGAAAGTGATTTTATCTTTAGCTAGTATCGGTTGGAAGAACATGTTTTTGGGATAGTCAAACCACACTGTTAAAATAGCTGTTCTTGGTCTAAATTTGTGTTTATTGAAGAGTTTTACAAATTCTTTTTCTTCTTCTGGTAGGAACGGTCTTCCACTTTCTGCTTTTGGATATTCACTGTCTAAATCTGACATTGCTGAAGCGTATAAACCATTAGCATCAAATGCCATTAGTTTATTGCTGTTTATTTTTTTAAGTTTTGAATTAACTTCTGTTTTGGCTTTTGTGCTTGCGCTGTATTCTTTGAACACTTCGTGAAATACTTTCTGTATCACTTAGTGAAATAAACTCCTTTAATACATTACAAATTTCATCCATTTTGTTCGTTTCAAATGATTTTCTATTTGCCGAAAAGCTTCCTCCTTTAATAGATCGTCTGATAAAATTTCTTATAAAAGGATTAGTGTGCGAATAAACTTTTTCTATATTTTCTTTTTCAGTATGTTTCGCAACCATTCTAGTAGTTTCATACGATTCTTCTTCAACCATTTCTTTATCATAATGAAACTAGATGTTGATAGGAACATGTTAAATTAATATGTTGTAAATAATTAGATTTCGAGGAAGGGAGGGTTTGATTCTCACAAATGTACAGGCCTAGGGTGGAGCAGACACTGTATTTAGAAATTAGGATATTGGGTTTTCTTCTGTTCTTATTCTGATCTGAAATTAGAAAAAATAAGTAGAAGTATAGTATCTGTTATGTACCGATTGTTTTTAGTTTACATATCATTTAAGTTCTTATTTTTTGAATATGCAACTATCATTTTCTGCTTATAGGCAAAGTTTGAGCTGTTAGATTATTTGATATATTCTGGTTTACAACTTCTTTCATGACTTGGTTATATAATTTCAAACAAGCTCCAAGACATAGGGTATCCCTTTTTGCATATGATTCCCATTCGTGTCTCAATTCCTCCCAATTGTCTTGCGTGTATTTAGCGATATCTACGTCGGCAATCTTTCTCAAATTCGCGGGAAGATTGGACGAATTTCCCCATGCAGCCAAACTAGATTTTTCATGTTGATAGGAACATGTGAAATTAATATGTTGTGAATAATTAGATTTCGGGGAAGGGAGGGTTTGATTCTCCCAAATGTACAGGCCTAGGGTGGAGCAGACACTTTATCTAGAAATTAGGATTAAGGGTCTTGATATTGGGTTTTCTTCTGTTCTTATTCTGATCTGAAATTAGAAAAAATAAGTAGACGTATAGTTAGTCATATTATTTTTGTTTGAGATAACTAGTTTTAACTAAATCGGCAAGAATATTGTTAATCATGTTAGCAGTTTCTTTGAAAATTGATTTCGGTAAAATGGCATAATGGTTAGGATTATTCAGTTGATTCTCTGCTTCTGAAACGTAATCCTCCCTATTCAGAATGACACAACATGAACCTTTGTCACTCTTTTTAATAACAATGCTATCGTCTTTCTTAAGTATGTTTAACGCTTCACGTTCATACTCGCAAATGTTTTCAATATTTCAGGATGGATGGCGGCCTGAGGGGGTGTCCACGTGGATTTAGGAATAAACATTGTTCTAGCACCACGTGGGGAGTGGTTTTGAAAAAAATATGTGCAGCTAAGATTTCGTTGAAATCGTTCAATGGATGGTCGGAGATAATTCAAGTTAGCTATCTTTGGTGTGGGAATAAATTTAAGTCCACGGTCTAAGATTGAATGCTGAAGGGGTGTGAGAATTTTGCGGCTCAAGTTAACTACAGTTTGGCCTAGCGGTGGCCTCTCAGTATTTTTATCCCGAGTAATTAGTGTAAAGACTTACTCGATGCTTGAAGCTGGTGTATCCAAAACAAATAAATGCTGTTTGCTGTTTCTGGAGACCAATGAAGATTATCAACTGGTTCGAATTCTTCTTCGTAGGGTGGTAAGATTGTTGCGCTGTTGATACTCCATCATCATGTTGTTGAGAGTGCTGAGGTTCTGTTGTGAAATGGGTATACATGTGAGGATCGTGGAGTTTGGGAAGGTTTTGTATGGTGAAATACGGTTTGGTAGCGGATATAATGGTCGTCGACGATGTGACTGGTACTGGTTTGCTGGGCCAAAAACGCACAGAAGGAAGAAAGGTTGGCGGATCCTGGATCACGTGGTGAAGATTCAGATGGTGTGGAAGGGTCTGAAAGTGAAAAGAGAAGGGGAGTGCCCTCTCTACGAGAGCGTTTACCTATGTCTGCTGGACTAGGAGTAGGTGAACTTTGGGCTCGTTTAGGGGTTTGGTTCGGCAGCGTGGTGGCTCTAGATGGTGCAGGTGTAGTTTCCATTTCAGTTGGTAGAGATATGGTTACTGTGGGTTTTTGTTTCGTTGATAGAACTTGGTGATTACAGCTTGAGTGAGACGTTTCCCATAGGAGCGACGGGCCCAGGACAGGGCATGAGAAACGATGCAGGTGATGATAAAGACTTGGTACGAATGGTGGTCAGCTTCTCTTGAAGTGTGGTTTGGTAATGGTCGATCAGGACCTGCTTAACCTAAGAGAGCCATGTCCGATTGAGGGATCTAATATTCGCGTCAACAGCTTCTGTTTTCATTGCTGGACGGATAAAACTATCCAACTACATCGAAGGAAAGAATCCAACGGATATAAAAGTTTTTCTTACGAAAAATGTTAATGATCTAGATTTGTCTTTTATTGATAGGAAACGAAAGAACTTAATATTGTTTGACGACTGAGTAGCGCAAAGAAATCAAGCTGTTCAACAAGAATTCTTCACGAAGGGAAGACATCACAACTGTCACTCCATATACCAATCCCAATCTTTTTACGGGATGGATTCTATGTTCATTAGAAAAAATGCTTTTTTATTATTTGAACTAAGCGATAAAGATTTATCTCAAATCATTCAGTCGATAAATCACGGAATGGACATAGATGCATTTAAAAAGGTTTGTAAAGCTCATTGGAAAAACCCAGATGATCATGGATATGTATTTGTAAATACTAGAAAACCTGCGGGTGAAAGAGTTATGATCGGCATATGTTAATTTTATTTTTTTAAAAATGAGTAGCTATTGGAATAATATGTTAAAAAGAAATAGAGAATATATCAAAGCTAAGAATAAAATAAAGACCGAAGTTGAAAATAACAGATTACAACAACTCGGATTATCGGAAAATCTACAAACTCTATTTCAACCCATATTAAAATCTCAAGAGGATATTAAAAAGAAATTAGCTTTAGAATATAAACCTCCTATAGAACCTCATAAAAATCACCCAGAACCGAATCCGAATTAGATGATATTAGTAGCCTTTTTTCAAACCCTAAAGCAGATTTACCAAAGAACATTTCAACAATCATTGATGATGAGGAGTTATTGTTTAATGGATTTAAAATTAAATCTAAGTCAAATTCCCCTATATTCAAAATCGATACAAAACACTTAATATTTACATTAACAAAAGGGTTAATAGATTTAATGAATGGCGGGTATATTGGCATTGTCGATTACAAGGATTTACTAGCATACTCAAAATTTCTACATGCAATAAGAAAGTCGGGACCCGAAACAAGAAGATCGAAAGCAGTTGAAACATATTTGAATAAAGTTATTCCTGATGAATATGAAGTTGATGAAGATGAGGTATCAGATGATTATGTATCAATGTATTCTGACCCTGCATATGACTCACTACCACAGTCAGATATAATCGGGCGTCCTTTAGGGATTTTATTCGAGATAAACCATTCCTTGGTGGGATTCTTATGGATATTAGGCAAAGTGTACAAATGTCTCTTGCGACAATCAGGTTTGGCAGACAGATAGTTATATTGTTTCTGTTTGAGATAACTAGTTTTGACTAAATCGGAAAGAATACTGTTAATCATGTTAGCAGTTTCTTTGAAAATTGGTTTCATGTTTAGGATTATTCAGTTGATTCTCTGCTTCTGAAACGTAATCCTCCCTATTAAGAATGACACAACATGAACCTTTGTCTTTTTAATAACAATGCTATCGTCTTTCTTAAGTAAGTTTAACGCTTCACGTTCCACTCGTGTGAGATTAGGCTTTTCGTGTGTTATGGAAAAGTTCACTGTTTGGCTATTCATACTCGCAAATGTTTTCAGCCTGAGGGGTGTCCTCGTGGATTTAGGAATAAACATTGTTCTAGCACCACGTGGGGAGTGGTTTCGAAAAAAATATGTGCAGCTAAGATTTCGTTGAAATCGTTCAATGGATGGTCGGAGATAATTCAAGTTAGCTATCTTTGGTGTGGGAATAAATTTAACTACAGTTTGGCCTAGCGGTGGCCTCTCGGTATTTTTATCCCGAGTAATTAGTTTAAAGACTTACTCGATGCTTGAAGCTGGTGTATCCAAAACAAATAAATGCTGTTTGCTGTTTCTGGAGACCAATGAAGATTATCAACTGGTTCGAATTCTTCTTCGTAGGGTGGTAAGATTATCATGTTGTTGAGAGTGCTGAGGTTCTGTTGTGCTTTCTTCGAGATTTTATTTGAAATGGGTATACATGTGAAGAGGATCTTGGATGTTGGGAAGGTTTTGTTGGCTGTGGCGATTAATTTCTGGGCTTGGTTAAAATTAGCTGATCACGGTTGTTGAGGCCTACATGAAGAATAATGGTAGTTTGGAATCATGGTCGTATGATTCCAGGATTGACTGTATGTGATGGATTTGGGCACCGGGGTAAGAATTTCAGTGTCTGAACTGGTTTTGGTAATTCGATTCAGGTTAGATGATCCAATTATTAAGGTAGATTTCTTTAGAGCAGGTAGCTTCCTATGTCTGCTGGACTAGGAGTAGGTGAACTTCGGGCTCGTTTAGGGGTTTGGTTCGGCAGCGTGGTGGCTCTAGATGGTGCAGGTGTAGTGTCCATTTCAGTTGGTAGAGATATGGTTACTCGGGTTTTTGTTTCGTTGATTCTTTGAATACTTCGTGAAATACTTTCTGTATCACTTAGTGAAATAAACTCCTTTAATACATTACAAATTTCATCCATTTTGTTCGTTTCAAATGATTTTCTATTTGCCGAAACGCTTCCTCCTTTAATAGATCGTCTGATAAAATTTCTTATAAAAGGATTAGTGTGCGAATAAACTTTTTCTATATTTTCTTTTTCAGTATGTTTCGCAACCATTCTAGTAGTTTCATACGATTCTTCTTCAACCATTTCTTATGTTAAATTAATATGTTGTAAATAATTAGATTTCGGGGAAGGGAGGGTTTGATTCTCCCAAATGTACAGGCCTAGGGTGGAGCAGACACTTTATTTAGAAATTAGGGTTAAGGGTCTTGATATTGGGTTTTCTTGTGTTCTTATTCTGATCTGAAATTAGAAAAAAAATTCCTTTATTAAGTCTTTATTACACACTTTATAAAATAATAACCATCGCTTGGTATGTAACAATTTTCGCCTTTGTATTCATTTATCTTTTTAAGTAGATTACCACCTCTGTCAGTTTTAGATCTTTTTACTATTCTAAAATTATTTTTGCGGTAAATAATCTCTCCTGTAAAATACCAATCAGAGGTTTCAGATTTATCATGCATCTTTGAATGATTAATCTTGAAAGTTTTAGCATTGAATCCAGATAATTTCATGTCTTGTTTATATTCCCCCTTTTCATATATTTGACCATTTATTGTCCTATAAACTACATATTTAAATTTTTCTTCATCTTCTTTTACGCGAAAATAAATTAGGTATTGAATTGAATATCTTTGAAAAGTCTTTTAGATACTTCTTTTTTTAAATTTCCAATTTTATCCATTCTTTTTCTAAGTATCTATTTTTAACTAGGAATTTTTAACTTTTATTGATGATATTTCTACATCAAATTTATCTAAAATTTCATTGAATTTTTCCAATTCTTCAATGGTTATGTTCTTATCTTCTCTGGATCTGTCAAAAAAAATGAATAATTTATTTAGATATGTATTTAAAATTTCTGTTTTCTTTTTATAATGAGCTTTCTGTTTTGATGTAAAACCTAAAGTAATCAATCCACAAGATGAAGTTTGTACGGCAGTGAACGCGGCTAATACAGTTATTGGAAGCATTAATCCAACGGCTACGGCTATTGCCACCGTTGTCCCTACTGTTAGAACTGTACTTAATGTTTTGAAAACAGAATCAATTCTACTCCATGTTTTTCTGCATTTGTTAAAGTGTTTTTATTTTTCTTGTAGTTCGTTTTGCTTTTCTATCATATATTGTTGTCTACTTTCGAGTTCCATTTTTTAGGTAATTAAATTAAGTGAACTTCTGATACTCCAAAATCTGCTTTGTCTATTTTTTCTTCAATAGCAATTATAGTTATTAAGGTATATAGGATATTTGTTCTTTCGAATCATTAATCTCATTCAGATGAACTGAAAATTATGGTTTTTTAATAGAGATTAATATAAAAACATATGCATCAACATCATCTCTTATTGTTGACTTTATGAATATCAATTGAGGTAAATATATCATTATTAACAAAATATAGTTTTATATAAGTCTGTCGTTCGTAAATACTGATAACTCTTTTTTCTTTTTTTTTTTGTGGTTCTGGATTTCTAATGATATTCATTGATGATGAAGTTTTCGTCTCCAATATCATATCAAAATCTTCCAATGAAAGTCGATCTTCTTCATTATCTGGTATGATTAATATTCTAAACCTATTTATATATTTTCCACTCGTGGCTATGGATGAATGAATTTTGTTATTGTATTCATCTACAACCTCTGGTAATATTTTAAGCCATTTTTTAGATTTCAATTCTGAATAATTTATTTTTGAGAGTTCTATTATATCTCTCAATAACTACAGCTTTACCTTCATTATGCGTGCTGTAAATTTCAAAACCTAGAGATTTCATATTTTTGTTATAAAATTCACTTCCTTTATCTACCCACAGTTTTTCTGGATGACGGTTAGATTGTTTCATAATCGTTTCAAATGCGTGTTTGACTGATAATTCTGTTTTGTGTTTCAAAGTAATAACCCAAGTATATCTCATATACAAATCTATAACTGTTAAGCAATATTTATCTTCTTTCGACTGGCATATGAATTAAATCGGCTGACCATATTTCATCTTTTTCAAACACTTTGACTTTTAAAAAGTTTTTAGTTTTTCTAAATTCTTTATGAATTTCATCCGCTAATCCCATGCCTAATTTCATCTTTGCTTTTAACAGATTTATGATCAGAGCCCTTAGCATTCTCTCTTTGAAAGTTGGATTTTGAATATTTTCAATTTTTCGATATCTTTTGTCTGTCTGCTTCGTGTCTGAAGTTTTTGTCTTTGTTTCTGTAAAGTATGTCGTGTTCTTCGCTGGGTTTGGGTTTATCGTTTTCGTCTTATCGCAGATCTAACCTGGTACCTGGATCAGTGTAATTATGACCGGGAAGATGTTTTTCTCTGGGATATTTCGCACATGGAAATCCAGGAAGAGAACCCAATGATTTATGTATATTTGAACCAAAATAAGTTTTTGGAGCGTGAGCGACTATCATTTTTATCTTTATAACTTTAAAACCTTTTCCTTTCCTTTCTTCTAATCTCCTGTTTCGCAGATCTCTTATTAGTTGTAATTCTTTCAACTCGTCAGATTGTTTCACTGCTTCGCTTATACTCTTTCCTGTTTGGGCGATTGAGCCGACGGCTTTCGCTCCGGTTGAAATGAGTGATTTGATGTTTGAAACAAAGCTGGCTACTTTTGGAATTATTGTTTTACCTAGAAAAAATAATGAAGAAAAGATACCGTCGCCCGAATAATCTTCGAATTTGTGTTGTTCGTGTTTTAGAATTAAACTCATCCTATTTTTAAATGAGTTAATTTAACGAAGAAATTGTGTTTATAAAACAAGAGTTATCTCCCTTCTACATTATTTAAAACCGGATGTTTTTTTTATATAAGGGTATTTTTAATAAGCTTTTTTGATGGAATGTAAGAAATGTAGGGAGTATAGGTGTAAGAATTTAAGGGGTTTAGGTCTTTTTTAGTGTAAGAATTTATGAAATGTAGGGTGTTTAAGTTTTTTTGTATATGAGATGGTAATTCGACATATTGTAAAGGTTGGTGTAGTGTAGATACACTGGATGGTCAATCTGGTAAAAAAAAAATTTTTGGTAAACCGGTAAATGGTAAAATGTCATACTAACCGAGCCCGACGTTGCTGAACTTCAGTGATCGGACGAGAACTGGTGCTTTCAAGGTGGTATGGCCGTAAGACACTATATCGGAATTTTTCAAGCCGGTCTTTCTCGCAAAACACGGGAAAATGTCTGCAAAAAGTAGTCTACAGCACTCGGCGTTCCTAGGCGGTCACCCATCCAAGTACTAACCGAGCCCGACGTTGCTCAACTTCAGTGAACTGGTGCTTTCAACGTGGTATGGCCGTAGACACTATATGGGAATTTTTCAAGCGGGTATTTCTTGCAAAACACGGGAAAATGTCTTCAAAAGGCTTCTACAGCACTCGGTTTTCACAGGCGGTCACCCATCCAAGTACTAACCGAGCCCGACGCTGCTGAACTTCAGTGATCGGACGAGAACTGGTGCTTTCAACGTGGTATGGCCGTAGACACTATATGGAAATTTTTCAAGCCTGTCATTCTCGCAAAACACGGGAAAATGTCTGAAAAAAGGAGCCTACAGCACTCGGTGTTCCCAGGCGGTCACCCATCCAAGTACTAACCGAGCTGAACTTCAGTGATCAGATGAGAACTGGTTTTTTTATCTTGTAAAATGTTTATTAACAAAATATAAAAGCTAAAATTATATCCTTGACATTTCATTCAAAATTTATTGAGATTTTTTCTGAATTAATAACAACATATGGATTAGCCATAAACATTAAGTTACGCAAAGTCGGGATCGGTTATTACCTGGTAACAACGAGTGCTGTAGACTCTTTTTTGCAGACATTTTACGGTGTTTGGCGATAAATACCCGATAAAAAAATCCGCATAGAATGTCTACGGCCATACCACGTTGAAAGCACCAGTTCTCGTCCGATCACTGAAGTTAAGCAGTGTCGGGCTCGGTTAGTACTTGGATGGGTGACCGCCTGGAAAAACCGTAGAATCCTTTTGAAGACATTTTCCCGTATTTTGCAAGAAATACCCGCTTGAAAAATTCCCATATAGTGTCTACGGCCATACCACGTTGAAAGCACCAGTTCGTTCACTGAAGTTAAGCAACGTCGGGCTCGGTTAGTACTTAGTAAAGAACACTTAGTAGGAACACCGAGTGCTGTAGACTCCTTTTTGCAGACATTTTCCCGTGTTTTGTGAGAAAGACCCGCTTGAAAAATTCCACATACCGTCTACGGCCGTACCGTCCTATCACTGAAATTAAGCAACGTTGGGCTCTGTTAGTACTTGGATGGGTGATCTCCTGGGAACAGCGAGGATTGTAGAGAGACATTTTCCCGTGTTTTGCGACAAGACTCGCGTGAAAAATTTCCATATAGTGTCTACCGCAATACCACGTTCGATCACTGAAGTTAAGCAGCGTCGGGCTCGGTTACTACTTGGATAAGTGACCGCCTGGGAAAACTGAGTGCTGTAGAATCCTTTTGAAGACATTTTCAAGTGTTTTGCAAAAAATACCCGCTTGAAAAATTCCCATTTAGTGTCTACGGCCATACCACGTTGAAAGCACCAGTTCGATCACTGAAGTTGAGCAACGTTGGGCTCTGTTAGTACTCGGATGGATGATCGCCTGGGAACAGCGAGGATTGTAGAGAGACATTTTCCCATGTTTTGCGACAAGACTCGCTTGAAAAATTTCCATATAGTGTCTACCGCAATACCACGTTCGCTCACTGAAGTTAAGCAGCGTCGGGCTCGGTTACTACTTGGATGGGTGACCGCCTGGGAAAACCGAGTGCTGTAGAATCCTTTTGAAGACATTTTCCCGTGTTTTGCAAGAAATACTCGCTTGAAAAATTCCCATTTAGTGTCTACGGCCAGACCACGTTGAAAGCACCAGTTCGATCACTGAAGTTGAGCAACGTCGGGCTCGGTTAGTACTTGGATGGGTGACCACATAGGAACGTCGAGTGCTGTAGTCTCCTTTTTGCAGACATTTTTCCGCGTTTTGCGAGAAAGAGTCGCTTAAAAAATTCCGATATAGTGTCTACGGCCATACCACCTTGAATGCACAAGTTCTCGTCCGATCACTGAAGTTCAACAACGTCGGGCTCGGTTAGTATTTCAATGGGTGACCGCCTGTGAACACTGAGTGCTGTAGACTCCTTTTTCAGACATTTTCCCCTGTATTTCGAAAAAGAGCCGCTTAAAATATTCCCATAGAAAGGAAAGGAAAGGACCAGTTCTCGTCCAATCACTGAAGTTAAGCAACGTCAGGCTCAGTAAGTACTTGGATGGGTTACTGCCTGGCAACACCGAGTGCTGTAGACTCCTTTTTGAAGACATTTTCCCGTGTTTCGTGAGAAAGACCCGCTTGAAAAATTCCACATAGTATCTACGGCCATGCAAGTCCGATCATTTAAGCAACGTCGGGCTCGGTTAGTTCTTGGATGGGTGACCGCCTTGGAACACTGAGTGTGCTGTAGACTCCTTTTTGAAGACAATTTCCCGTGTTTTGCGAGAAAGACCCACTTTAAAAATCACCATATAGTGTCTACGGCCATACCACGTTGAAAGCACCAGTTCACTGAAGTTAAGCAACGTCGGGCTAGGTTAGTACTTGATGGGTGACCGTCTTGGGAACACCGAGCGCTGTAGACTCCTTTTTTGCAGACATTTTCCCGTGTTTTGTGAGAAAGACCCGCTTGAAAAATTCCACATAGTATCTACGGCCATACCACGTTGAAAGCACCAGTTCTCTTCCGATCACTTAAGTTAAGGAACGTCGGGTTCGGTGGGACTTTTGTGTTTTGATGAGAGCTGACGTATTTTCAGAAGTTCTGTTAAAATCAAGTTTAATCGAAGTTATTTGAGCAGATTAATTGTTAATGATTTTCTAAAAATGTTAATCAATATATGTACTTTTGATTGAAGGTAGTATTTGTCTTTAATCAGTGCACGTTTTTGTGTTTTGAGGGCCTTTGGCCATGGCCAAATATGTTGACAGTAGACAATATGGCCGACACTGTATTGCTAGTGAAAGAAAACACGGTCAAAATCTTGACACGCAAGTTTAGCGCGCGCGAAATAATTGACCTTGTTGAAAACAAACTCGGAGAGGACTCCGTTCTAGCATGTGTGCCATGTACTGACTCTTTTGATGTGACTCTAATTAATCGTGTTGCAGAAACTCTTTAAAATGATGGACTAATTAGTGGGGAAGATGGCTTTCATTGCAAATTTGTTAATTCACGTGTCAAGGTTGTTTCATTTAGGCACATACCTGTGTATGTGTCTGACAAAGAAATTTTTTGACAAATTGCACTTCTGGGGAGTAAAAGCTACTGGGCCCCTAAATAGGAAAACTGTTGACCACAATGGCAAGAAAAAATATGATGGTACGCGTTATGTCAAGGTGCAATTCCCGGATAAAATTTCAAGCTTGCCCTACGCAACAAGTTTTGATTCTATACGCCATAATGACCAGGAAAGAGTATGTTTTAAATGTCTCGAAGCTGGACATGTTTTATCAAATTGTCCAGAATTTAGGTGCTTTAAGTGTGATCAACCCGGTCACGGTAAAAGGAATTGTGTGTCTGTTTTATGTCCGAGGTGCAATTTGTTTAGCTGGAAATGTGAGTGTGTCCAGATTGGATCAGACGATATTTTTGATTCAGTAGCTGACGCACGTGCTGATTCTAATCTATTATGGTAAATCTGATATTTTACAAAAAGAGTCCGTTGCTGAAAATTCTGACGTTATAAATGATTCGCATGGTGTATAGTGACGTTATTAATGACCGTAGCGACAACCTTGATGGTAAAAATGTTGTTAAATCCAGTGTTGATGAAATGAAATCGGTTATTGAGCAAAATGTTAAAATTAATCTTGAAAAAATTGAAAATATAAATCTGGAGAGTATGACTAAGAATTACGGTGCTTTGAATAATTGTGATGATGATCAGGAAATGTCTGATGCCTTTGCCTCCTCTTCACAATCGCCAGATTTGTCTGGAACAGCGCGAATCGGCAAAGGTAAGGTTAAACGACAGGGTAAACCTGAGCAAGAGATCCAGTGACAGTGATGTTTTGAAAGTGATACAGGACCGCAAATCAAGCAAAGTAAAACTAAATCCATCTACAGCCAAGGAAGTTATTAGTAATGTTAAAAAATCAAAAATCAAATAAACTTACTTTTTGGGGGTTTTATATTTAATTATTTAGCAACCATAAACATAAATGGTTTAAAAAATGTTGTAAAATTTCAAAAACTTATTTCTTATTTTCTTTCGCAAAATTTAGATTTCGTGTGTGTGCAAGATACACATTGGGATAATTGTTTTATTGAATCTTATAAACACTTCTGGGATGGTAAGATTTTATATAGTAATAGCAATTTTGGTTTCAAGGGTTGTGCTTTATTTATCGCCAAACAGTTTATTGACAAATGTGAAGTAGTATATGCTGAACAAAACGGTAGACTTCTGGAATGCAAAGTATATATAAATGATTATGTGTTTTCTCTCATATGTATTAATGCGCCGAATGATGAAACAGGGCGTCATGAATTTTTTCGGTCCGTTGCTGATCGATTACTACTTTCAGAAAACGTTGTACTTTGTGGTGATTTTAATGATATTCTGAATCCCTTCACTGATCGATCAGAAAATATGACATGTTATGGCAAAAGTGATAGTACTTTTGCTAACTTTGTAAATGACCATTCATTGTGTGACATATGGAAGCGTAAAAATCCAAACAGTGCAGTGTTTACCGGAGACAACTTGTTCAAGGCAAATTAAAACAATCACCAATTGACTACATATTTTTATCTTCCGCTGTAGTGAAACATTCTCTTTATTGTTTTGTCTCGCATACCAGTTTTAGTGACCATATTTTAAAATCTGTAACATGATAAAATCATCTGCATCATACCCCTTGTACCAGACTGAACCACTTTTATGGTGGGACAATTTAAAGTACAGCCTTAAGAGGTTCAGTATATCCTATGCTCAACAACAGAGAAAACGAGTTTAAGATGAATTTTGGCAATTTTCATTTGTTGAAAGCCAGTAAAGTGTATGATTATGACTATGCTCCTATTTTTGATTTACAATCCAAGCTTGAATATTATGAAATTTCAAAATGTGAGGGTGCCATCTTAAGGGCAAAAGTTCTAGATTCACTTGTGTGTTCGCATTACTTTCTTAATTTAGAAAAGCGGAAACAAGAGTCCAATGTAATTCGATCGTTACGATCTGCATCTTGAACAAACCGGATGTTATTTAAGTAAGCAGATAAGTGAAGCTAGCGCTGAACATTGTGAACCTATTATTTCCCAAAAGGAATTATTTTCCGCTCTAAATGGCATGAAACGTCGTAAATCGCCGGTTTTTGACGGTTTAACAGTTGAATTCTTTGTTCATTTTTGGCCTGAGTTAGGTCCAGTATATTTCCATGTGATCAATGAAATTCAAAAATGTGGGGAACTAAGCAGAACTATGAAAAGGGGCATAATTTCATTGTTTTACAAAAACAGGGGAGATAAGTGTGATTTAAAAAATTGGCGCCCAATTAGTTTGCTAAATGTAGATTATAAAATCTTTGCCCGTTCATTGGCATGACGATGATGATGATGTGACGTTAACTTTATCAAACTTTGATTCAATTAATGAAGCCATTGAAACTATTAATGTTTATTGTTCCGCATCAGGTGCAAAAATTAACCGTGATAAGTCGCAGCTATTACTTGCTGGTTCATCAAAGAGTGTTGTGTGTGACAACTGTCCAGTTACCCTTGTGAATGGTTGCATGAAAATACTAGGTGTACACGTGGGTCCGAACAAACTTAAGTGTGAAAAGTTGAATTGGGAGTCAAAATGTTCCAAAGTGTCTAAAATACTAAATATGTGGAAACAAAGAGATCTACGGCTCAAGGGTAAAATTACTATTGTAAATACATTATGTTTGTTCATGCTTTGGTATTTAGTTCGGGTGGTAGAAATTCCATCTTGTGCATTGAAGAGTAACGATAAATCTATTCGGGAT